TTATTTCAAATTATGTTCCTATTTTCTTGAAACCCTAGAATAACATTCTTGTGAACAGCTGCACAGAATACAACTAATCCTCTTTGCAGAATTATTTATTCCCTCAAACATTTCCCTACACACACACACATTTATTGCTCCTCTTATCACCCATCAGCTTAACACTGTTCAAAAGCCTGGGAAAAATCTTCAAATGAATGACTTCAAAAGATAAAAGCATCCCACATGTTATCTTTCAGCTTTCTTTGTAAAGAAAAGAGTGAACAATATGTGGCAAATATGCCTAAAAATTAAAAAATAAAGTTTGAAATTATAGATATGCATTTTTAGACAGAATATACAGTATATCAATTTTAGAACCACAGTAATCATTTAAAGTGACTTTTAATTTAGGCATGCATTTATGATTTAAATTTAGGCAATGGCACCAGTATTTAACGAATAAAGATTTAGATATGTTTACTTTTAGTTTTTTAATCCATTCTATTCTATTTTAAGAAAATGAAATTTTATTTTCTACTGATCTTAAAATCACTATGTCCCAAATTATTCTGCACTCATGTCCCAAATTATTCTGCACAATGTTAACATTTTTATTAGTGTACATTTAAGCAAAGTTATTTCTTTTTACAGCATAAACAAATCTTATTATAAGAAGGACAGCAGTGCTGCAGTTCTGCTGATTCAGCAGTTTTACACATTTTAATATATTTCTTCAATGCTAATTGTCTTCTCTTAATAGTCTATCTTCAAGATTTTTCTTTAAAATTTCATTTGCTATTCTATTACAAATTAATTACATTTTAAATCCTCAACTGTCCATTAACTACTTAATTTCTTTAATGAACTTTAGAAATCTTCAAATGATTCACCTTTTTGTTGTGTTCAAGAGAGAAATATATGCCCAGCAACCCTTTCATCTGCTCTGTTTATCATCCATGACAGCTGGTCAAGGCGTTTTGAACAAATTACTAAATGTTTCCAACCCCTTTTACTAGCAGTCAAACTCATCCAATTCTTAGTTTTAAGGACTAAACAATTCTCCTCTACAGAATCTATCTATCAAAGTTCTAGGTCTTCTTCTTCTTGTATTACTTGGTTTAGCCGAAACTATTTCTTTTAGTATGCTACTTTTGTTCATTTAAAAAAAAAAAAAAAAAAATGCCCAAGCCAATTCAGCCCTTAAAACCATTAGAAAAGTGTCCTTGAATCAGATGATTTTCTTCATTTAAGTCAAAAGAATTAACTTCCCAATTCCACTTCACCAATAGCATACAGTAAAAATAGCTACTTTAGTTTCAGGCCATTTAGTATTACTAATAGAAGCTAACATGTATATCTTGAATTTTATTTCCACTTTTCCAATTTTCACTTAAATTGCCTTTGAACAGTATTGTTTCAAAGGCAAGATTGTTTGGTGGCTTAAATTCATCCATATTTAATTTATGACTAATTTATGACTATAGTCTATTTATACATATTTTAGCCAAACAATGTACTTACCAACCACAAGAAGTTTTAATTTTATTGTAAATGACTTCCATTCATATATCAGCCTTGAAGATATCTTCATGGTTATTTATTCACAAGCGATTACAACATAGTTCTTCAATTTTTTTTTATTAGCTGTACCATATTTTATTATTTATATGTTATTGTTAAATGCAAATAATAACTACAAGATCAACTAAACAGCATTTACTCTACACTACTAGCTATCTATTGTTCTATATTATGCTAATGGTTACATACATTACAGTTACGGTTACATGTATATGACAGTTACATATGTAATAAATATGGGAGAGGGTGAGACGCAAATTTCAGCTGTACTTAATAAGTTTTTATCAGACATTCATTGAAATCTGTTATGATAGTAGACACCTCACGGCCAGTTCCATGGCCAGAAGAGCATGGCCAGTTCTGGATGCTTTGCTTCAATTTCTGCTTTTAAAACTGTCATTTGGGAATGGTATTTTTCTAAATTTATGATCCGATTTGGTAGCAATAATTCACAATATATAATTTCTTTGCAGTCTCATCATATACAAAGCATTACTTCACATCATAGTGGCTTCTTATATGTTTTTTTCCGCTGACTGTTTTACAAATTACAAGTCATGTTGTTACGATATTGCTTAACAGATCTGAAATTAATGTAGTATGACATTTGAAACTCTGCTAGTATTTATTACTCAGAAACCTGCCTATAGCATATCAAATGCAAATACATTTACTCAGTTCTTTATCAAAAGATGTGGCTTACAAGGCCACCCCACCCCCCTCATTGTATGCATTATCTTATTGAAACAATTCAGAATTGGATACTCCACACAGAAGTCTACCATAAAAGAATTTTCAACAAACAAAAGCTGTCATCAGACAGAATGACTTAATACTAATAATGGATAAGTGTAACGTCACAAAGAGTTAAAATGTTCATCATGATTTAGTGCAAATCTGATTAATTCTCTTTAAGCAGGTTATTTTTTGTAATGGATACAAGTTAATTGCTATTTATCTATCTTTGCTTCACATTTTGGAACAATTATTAAAACACAAGCCTGTAATGGAAAAGCATGCAGTAGAGTATTTTCAAAGTTCTGAGACCTTGGCATCAAAAGTTGTGTCTTCTCCATAATAAACGATCGTCGACTTCTTCACAGTCAATGATGATATTAAATACAGTGAAACTTATTATGACACCATGGAAACAGCCATTTTTTAGCTGAATAAATTTTAAGATAGAGGTTGAAATCTCACTTCACAATTCTTTTTCAATCACAGTAAACATTTTAAACCAGTTTAGCATATTTTCTGACAGCACTGTGATTCATTATATCAACATTTTCCATTAGCCAGAACTTAATGAATGCAGATCTGTTAAATAATCAAAAGCTTCCCATTCATCTTCCTGGATGATTAGCTTTTTATTTAAAAAAATAAACGTTCATAAAACATGTTTCCTTCAATATATTTGTATTCTAGTGCTTCATTCACTATATTTGAATATAAATACATAAAACATTTTTTCAGAACTGAAGAAAGTAAGTCAACTAAAAAGTTTGTGATGGATACACTAAGTCCCATTATTTAATTCTCGTCAAATTATAAAAATCACAAAATTAAGCAAAAATTATGCACAACTGGTGTAGTGTTCTGATGACTGTAAATGGCACATGTCTGTAAACAGGAGATACCAATTTTCATCTCCAGCTGGATACTAGATCTTTGTAATGTCATCCAATTAAAGTAGAATAGTTGAAGAAGTAAGAGAAGGGATAGTATCATAGGCAGCTACTTTAGAATTCAGCAAGTTAAGGTCATAGTCCAGAAGTCTTATAATTAAGCAGAAATATTAGGAGCTGATTGATTATCAGATCTGGATAATTCGAAAGAGAACTTGTCTATGGGAAGGAGGTCCAAGATTCTATCTCCATTTGGAACCTAGAACTGTACTGGAAGCCAATAAAACTGTCTAATAATTCGAAAGAGAACTTGTCTATGGGAAGGAGGTCCAAGATTCTATCTCCATTTGGAACCTAGAACTGTACTGAAAGCCAATAAAACTGTCTAAGAGATGAGTTCAACCCTCATCCAGCTTTATATTTGGCTTTATATTTGGAGGTAATTTGCATAAACGGATCTATGCAAATTACCTCTGGTCTTAATATAAAAAGGAATGAGTATGACAGACTCATACAACAATTTTACTACCAAGGTTTGAGCGTGAATAGTTGCCATTAGACAAATCACACCATGTGACTTTACTTACATTCATTTCCATTTTGCCGGCCTGCAACATGCGACTTCAATCCTAAAACTGAATTTTCAAGATTATTTCTCCATTTATGCAAATTACGAAACAGAAAACTTTCCCATTAGCTGGTTCACATCACATGACCAAGAATTGCAAGTTTTAACATTCTGCATATCTAAAAGACTGTGTAAATAATGTATATATGAATTAAAGACTGGATTTCAAGATTTTAAGACTGCAGTGCTTAATTCACTTGCTGATAAGAACTTTGTGAATTTACAAACTTAACTTTGTACTCTTGACTTTGCCAAAATAACAGCGTCGCCTCCAGATGTAAGGTGCGATTGTATCATAATTAAAAAAAAAATATGGTGAATGGCCTTAAAGTAATAAACTAAATCGACTAGTAAAAACTCACAGTAGTTGAAGCTAATAGCAAAGTGATGAACTGCAACACATCCAAATATAATAATCAATTAGAAATACCAAATAATGCAAATCTCATGGTTTAGAAACAATATTAGATTGGATCATGGGATTAATGGACAGACAGAGTTACAAGCCTTTTTTACTATGCTGATTAGAGAAGTTTACTTAAATTTAATTATGGACTTTTAATCTGTATAAAGGTGACGACACACTTGGGGATGTGATCCCCAATTAAAAGTGACATAAATATGGAGAATTACTGGAACAATATGTGTGAGAATGATGGAATGTGTTTATGGTAAAAGAAATAATACTGAGCTTCATAAAGGCTTTACTTAGCTCAGGCATGAATTCGTGGTGAGTACACCATGGATTTGATTCTCCCACAAATAAAATAAAAATCTTGCTATCAAATAACATAAATCAATAATATTATTTAAACAAATCTGAAAGCTTCCAGATTTTATATGCCCAAAGGGGCATTTTTTTAATGTTTTTCATGTTACCTTTATTTATTAAATATCATGTTTTTCTCACTTAAAACATAAAATTCAATTCAACAGCAATATAGCAAAATAATTAAAAAAGAGCACATCTTCAGAATTTCCGATACACAGCTGGCGTGCTGGAGATAATAGTTTTTTTCCGCAGAGTGTTGCCTTTGCTCGCTTTGAAATCGTTGAGTATTTTAATCAAAAATTCATTAAAGTGTTACAAAATATGAAATTGATAATAAAGCAAACTCCAAATTAGGGCTTCCAGATGCCCATATTCAGTGGAGGATTACGTTATAACAAGTGGAAAAGCTTACTTTGCAATCTTTATTTCCAATGCAACACCAGAAGATCCATTTCCTACTACATGTTCTATCCTTAAAACAGAGTCATAAAACTTAACTTTCAAATTTGCTAGAACTGTAAAAAAAAAATAACATTCAATTATTCAAATACCATAAATAAACAGAGAAAGAGAAAATTTGAATCAAAAATATATAATAAAATGATAAATAAATTATTACAAAATAAGATGCAATTATTTGTATGAGAAACTCATAAGCATATCTTAGAGAAACAGCATGTTTTCATTATCTACAGTGCAATAACTGTGGGCCTGGTTCCAGCATCTTTGGTACCACATAGAAATTAAAACATATTAATTTAAAGCAATCTTTATTTAATTGTTACTTGTAATTACAATTAGATGGCCTCTTTGGCAGCAGCCTATGCCACCTATGCTCGGAGTTGTTGGCTTCTTTTTTTGCTTAGTAAATGTACACAGTTCTTTATATTCAATTCTAGTAATTTATTTTTGTATATTCTGCAGTTTTGGGTTAAACAAAGTAAAATTTTTAAAAATTCTTCTTGTAAAAATTTGCATGCCATCTTAAAGTAAGTCTTTTTTAAAACATCCTAAAAATTAGAGGATTTTCATTCAAAAGTACCAGCCCAGCATGCAGAACCACTACACCACAAAGGCACGCCAGGAAAGTGGGAGAAATACCTTATATACTTCCCTTTTTAAAGGGCGACTGGTGTTTTTAGGGGACCCAATCGCCAAATCCTGGGTGTGGAGAATCCTCATTCAACACCCAGGCGTCACTGTAGAGACATTAGGTTAATTGAAAATGCTAGAGAGATTAAAAACGAGCAATCCCCTTTGCCAGGAATCGAACCACGGACCTCTGGAGCAACGGCCCAGCGTACAGAGCCACTACACCACGCTAGGAAAGCGGGAGAAATACCTTATATCATAATTCGGAATTACTTTACACCTTTTTTTTTAATTCCACGTCTTTTATTACTGAAATTTAATAGACTGGTCTTTACTTTCACATTATTTTACATTTTTCTTGAAAAATATCTTTAAATTAACAAGGTTTGCGAAATTAAAACTACATTAACCTTATTTTGCAAAAGTAAAACTTTAACAGCTGGCATGAGTTAATCTTAAAAAAGAGCATTTGCTCTAGGTCATATGATGCGATATTCGTCAAAATACAAATACATATTCCTTTTTCTTAGCAGGTTATGTGACACAATGAACTAACTAGAGTTAGGACTTGGAATGCTTCGCCCAAGCTATGTAGCTAAACAATTATCTCACCTTTATTATCTCTTTTTGTGTGTAAATTCATAAATAAGTTGATGTTCATAATACTTAACTGTCTAATTATTAGCCACGACAAACTATAATAATAGATAAGAAAAAATATGTGCTATATAACTACATTTAATTCACAATTCCAAGTGGTGTCATAGCATGTCATACAATAGACCAACAACCAGCCTTTTCAATTGAGTTTTAATTTTATTCAATAATGGAAAAGATTTAGTTTTAGTTAAGTAGTACAGATACAAATGTCATACTGAACTTATCATCAAAACCATAAACTCATCACCATAAACATACTATGATATGACCATTTCTGCACACGGTAAAAATATAGTTTAATGTACCCCTTGGCGATTTTTGGTGATGCATGGATACAGATTTTGTGCAGTTCTTTGACTCGTTAATTTGGCTTGCAAAGCGGGGATTTTTGGGCCAAAAATTGCCGCTACACAAAGCCAAAATAACAAGACAAACAATTGCATAAACTCGGTATCCATGTACACATCGACTTATTTTCACTTAAAAAAAAAATCCCCGAATTGCACAAAAATGGCACTGCCCACTCCTTGGACTTTATCCATGTACATGTCGACCTATTTTCACTTTAAAAAAAAATTCCAGAATTGCACAAACTTGCATTGCACACTCCCTTTACTTTGTCCATGTACACATCAATATATTTTTCACTTAAAAAGTCAAAGGAGCACCATATTCTACAATACAGGCAAACAAAAAATACATAATCTCAATAAAATACATTTTAAACCGAACGATAAAATAACATAAAAAAAGGAAAAACATGCTATACATTTAAGCACTACCAAAAGCAAATATTCACTTCCATCAAAACGGTTTTTACATTTGACTAGATGCATATCCTTCCTACATACTATAATGGCATGCACTTATAATGGCTACTAAGTAAACCTTCATTTACACACCAGTCAATTAAAGCTCTTTTCCCCTTTCACTCCAAATCGTACAGAAACTTTAGAAACTTTAAATTAATCTTACTACATTCAGCCATTCTACCATCTAAAGAATTAAACCAACACACACCACAAAAACGCTTACAAAACATCCCATGATTCAAAATTTCCCAGAATCGTGCACCCGATTACGTCACAATAGGGTTTCCATAACATTCAAACTACTCAGGCTACCATAAATGAAAGAACAACTTGGCGATAAATCAAGCAACAACTTCGCCATAATACAAAGGGTACCTTAAAGTTTACTCTACCCCTGCATACTTCTGCAGCAAACTCTATTTTAGTTTTGCTACTCATTTATAATACACATTGCAATTCATCATTTCATTTGTTTTATTCCCTGGCAAAAGCTCAAAATAAACCACTACCATAGTCCCATCAAACTTAAACCTAACTTTCTTTTGATGAATAACAGCTTCTGATGTTTATTCAGTTGGCTCACCAGACTTGGTTCATGATCTTTTGCATTAGGGGTTGCCATAAATAATCCATCTTTCATTACTAATTATCAGTCATTTAAAGAAATAGAACATTATGATACTATTTCAAAAGCAAATTCGCATATGCTGATACACTGTGTTAAATGAATTTCTTTTAGTTTATGTAGGATTCAAACATGAAGTTTTTATTGGGAGGAAGTGTAAAAAAATTATGTAGAATAAACTTTGATTGGTGCTTACAATTTATCATCTTTAGTCTAGTGTATAATAATATGGCCCAAATTGAACTAAAAATCAACAGAATGACATTTAGCAAAGCAATTCTGGTATGCTCATCAAATCACAGCACAATTCTTTCTGTGCACTTCTGCAGTTCTTTTACCTTTGATGAAATAAAAAGGGTCAAATGTAATTAATGTATTGAAAATTTTTTATCACCTGTCCTTCAATATAAAATGCCTATATTAGCATTTCCGAGATTTAGTTAAGTTTCATTTAAAATTCACAGTTAGAGAAGTCATCACTCTGCATTCTCAAAAAATTGTTTCAATAACATTAAAATATGTTTTCTACTAGAGCTCCCCGACTAAGAACTTTTCCAGACAATTCAATATTAGTTCAACAAAATTTTAGACAATTTTTTAAGCAAATATTTCATGTGTCAGAAACCTACTTCAATATAATACTTTTTCAGAAAAATCTAATGGCCACTTTTATTATATATTAAAAACAATTTTCTTAATTTTTGACATAGTATTCAATCAAAGTATCAGATTTTATTTGTAAATAGAACAGAATTTTTTTATAACATCACCCAAATATTTCACGAATATCTTGACTGGCTTTTATGTGACTGGTTTTTTACTGTGCACGCTAAAATAAAAAAAAAAAAAAAAAAAGGGTTCAAAAGTAATAAAAATATTGTGATGAACCTGCAAAAATAATAAGCTGATTTTTAAAGTTGAGAGACTTTTAGAACATTCAGACATTAGTCATTCAGTGAGAAATTCAAGAAAGACTACTATTAATGTAAAACAAAAAATCATCAAGTAATATTACAGTCAAAAGTCTTTAATTCGGACTCGTCGAAACTTCGGCGATTCCAGCTTATCGGTTTTTCCGGATCATAGATCATCAATCTAAATCTGGTAAGATGACATGCAGAAATTATAAAATTAAAAATATGAAACTGTAATTTATGAAATAAAGAGCAATTATGATCTAAAGGGTATCAAAATTTACAACAAAAAAAAAAAAAAAAAACTTAATATTTATTTGTTTACTTTATTAAACATTTCTTTCAATGCGTGCATGCGTAAAGCATACATTAAGCATAGTCGAAATTAGAAAATTGCAACCAGAAAACTATTGGATGTGTACTCGTGATATTTATAATGACAAGGACTTTTATTTAAATCATATCAAAGACGGAATACATCGACATGAAATACTACATTTAGTAAGGAATTATAAGCTGAATAAAATAAAAACATCTGCCCTGAAGATAAGGATAGTGCTGGCAGATCAACTTCCAGTTCTTTGCGTGCCGCGACGTCCCCCCCCCCAGCAGAGCAGCGTGAAATTGATAAACAGATTTCGGAATGGTTAGAGAAACAAAGGATATGCCTTTATCCATTTTTTTCCAGCAATTCCACTTTTTGTTTGATGGACATCAAAACATGCTTTGGCTTTGTAGATCCTTTGGCAGCTCCAGAATCGGAAATTCTTTTTGACATAATCGAAAGTTCACGCTTACTTTTATAAAATTGCTCTAACAGTCTGCAAAAAATAATAAGCCGGAATAATAATTCGAAGATTAAGGAACAATGCAATCTGCAACATTAACTGAAACAGATAATTAGATAATTTGAGCTTAGCTTATACCGTCTGTTATACATTGAACGCGCATGCGTAAACGTATTATGCTCATGCATATACGCATATGCAATGCGTTTACGCATGCGCAGAAAGTTTGTAGCTTTGAGGTCCGGATTATGGACATCCGGATTAAAGACTTTTGACTGTATTTATGAAAAGTGAAAACTTTCAGAGATGCCACCTTCTGAAGAATGTAATCAGTAGTAATTAACTGAATCAATGATATTTAGTGCAACATTCAGTGTTCTCCAGACTGTAGTGAAGAAATTCAATAAAATAAGGATATTAAGCCAAATAAATACTACATAAGAAAATGGAGATAAATTTTCCCATGTAACCCATTAATAAATTTTCCTATGTTATCCTGACCTAAAGTACTGGGACTTATTAGACTGCCTATGTCACCTGAGGTCATCGTAACTGCCATGAGCAACTGAAAAATCGCAATTGCACACAGAATACAAGACAAAACCTTCCGAAAATTTTGAAGGAAGTGAACACGGCCACTCTTCACTATAGCGATGCCCATATTTTTTAAGGACTTTTCCCTCTTTGAAAGAGACATGATAAATATATTTATCACAATATTCTTTGTTCATTCCTGCATCCTGTTTCCTGAACGGTTTCATTTCTAGGAGAATCTGAAAAATAGGTACTAAATGGCAACCCACTAAAGCAAACATATTAATCTTAATTTCTGGATGCATCTTTTCTCCATCAGCAGATATGGCTTGATGCTAACTGACTTGGTATTTTCTTTCCCTTTAGCTGGTTATCAGAATATTTAACGCCAGTGGCCTATAGCTAAAGATAAAAATTATTGACTGTAAATTGATCTTTTTTCTTATTTTCTTTATATGTTTCAATTTAATTAGTGCAAACTAAATGTAATAAAAATAAAATTTCACCAGGATCACATATTCTGGTACCCATCTAACAGAAAAGTACTGCAGACAGAAATGACAAATTCATTCATACATATTCTGAACCAATACCTCACAATCTTTATAAACTAACAAATATTCAAATGACCCTAGTCAAACCACGAGAAACATCCTGTGGATTCCCCTTTTCTTGCTTTTGGCAATGACCTTGAAATCAATCAGTTTGTCCCCTCATCTCACACAAACACACACTATTCAAATATTTTGGACATTCAGACACAATCAAATCCATTTTTCTGCACAAGTCTAACAAAGCTTTCTTCACTTGGATCTCTATAAAGAAATAGGGTACTTTTCCATTTCGCCAGCACAAATCTCGCCAAGCAGACTTTATTGGCGACAACATACAGTATACACATAAAAAATGTTAACAAATGTTAGTTCTAAGAATTTTTTATTTTGAAGGCATAAACATTTTAATATCTTTTAAAATTTTGCAAAAAGCCAATAAATAAAGACAATAAGTTTGTAAAAAGACATTAATTTAAGAATTTACTGTGCTTTCACGGTTCAATATCCCAATTCACCATTTCATATCACGAGACCCCAAGCGATCTCATCTCAAAAATCTAATTCTCTCAGTAATTACTACATTAATTTCAAGTTAAATCTTAATTTGGAATACAAGTTTAAATGCAAGAATTATTTCAATTCGTAGGAATAGCTATTCAGAAATTATGTAAAAACGAAGTGCTTTACTTTGCTAGTGCATTCTCATTAGAATTGATAAGCTTAACCCTTGACTTCTACCATAAACTACCGATATCACAAAATACCATATAGTGGTAGGCCATATCGAGACTGACATCTTAAGTCAGGATATATTGATCCTCCTCCAGTTATTGATGCTTATGATACTCTTATTGATGCTTAAGATATATTGATCCTCCTCCAGTTATTGATGCTTATGATACTCTTAAAAAAAGATTAATTGAAGTATTTTCTGATTCTGAAGAACAAAAATTTTAAAAACTTTTGAGAGACATTGATTTAGGTGATAAACGCTCATCTGTTTTACTCCGACAAATGCAAGAACTGGCGGGACGTCTCGTCGGAAATGAATTACTAAAATCATTGTGTCTTCAATGCCTTCCAGCCCAGATGCAAGACATATTAGCCTCTTCTGATATCAAACTTTAAAAAAATGTGCAGCTATGGCTGACAAAATCTCTGACATCACAAGTCCTGCTACTGGAGAAACTTTAGTTTTGATTACGTGCGTAATTCCAAGAGTATTGTTCCAAAGGCTGTTTTAAAACATCTTGAAACAGAGAATCATATTTTTTAAGTAAATCATTAAACACATGTAACGGTTGTAAAACTGTAATTTTGGGTACAGATATTCCCGTGATATCTTGCCATCTGACTCAACGTCCATTAAGTAACTTCATGAAATCAAAAGTAACTTCTTCTACTGATACAAGTGATGCTTTAGATAATTTACAGAAACAAATATCTGATTTAAATAAAAAAGTAGATAAACTTTTTTACATTGTATTCTCGTGTTCGTTCTAATTCTAGATCTAGATCTTTGCCCACAAATAAACAAACCGAAAACACATCCATGTGTTGGTACCACACCAAGTTTGGCAAAAAAGCTGTTAAATGCAACAAACCTTGCACTTTTAAATCGGAAAACTAGACGGCCAAGCATGTGTGGCGATGAACGCCGTAGACCAAAATAATTGTCTCCTCCTTGTATATAAAAAATCTTTAAGAACACATTTTTTGGTTGACAGGTGCTGAATTGTCTGTTTTGCTTCCTACTTCACAAGACCGACGTAAACCAGCATCATTGCTCCATTTAATTGCAGCAAATGGTACCAAAATTGATGTATATGGAAAACAATTAGTCAATTTAGACATAGGTCTACGCCAAATTTTTCCATGGACTTTTACTATTGCTAATGTTTCGCAATCAATTTTGGGCGCAGATTTTTAAGTAAATATGCTATTATTTGTTAATTTGAAATCAAAAAAAATTAATTAACAGCATGACTAGCGTTGAATCAGATGGCAAGATATTACGGGATACTGTACCCAAAATTACAGTTTTACAACCGTTACGTGTGTTTAATGATTTTACTTTACTTTAAAAATATGATTCTCTGTTTCCAGATGTTTCAAAACAGCCTTTTGGGATAAACAATACTCTTGGAATTACGCACGTAATCGAAACTAAAGTTTCTCCAGTAGCAGCTAAGGCTAGGCGCCTAGCGCCTGACAAATTGGCTGCCGCAAAAGCAGAATTCACTTATTTAGTGCAAAAAGGCATTTGTAGCCCTTCTAAAAGCTCCTGGAATAGTCCTCTCTACATGCTAAAAAAACCGGATGGGTCTTGGCGGCCTTGCGGGGACTACCGTAAATTAAATTCAATCACTGTTCCAGATAATTATCCAATTAGACATCTACATGATTTTACATCTAATTTGAGCAATAAAACTGTTTTTTCAACATTAGACCTCAAGAAGGCATATGACCAGGTACCCATGAATAAAGAAGACATACCAAAAATGGCAATAGTTACTCCTTTCGGATTATTTGAGTTTAACTACATGACATTTGGTTTACGTAATGCTGCGCAAACCATGCAAAGATTACTCGATCAAATTCTGTCAGATTTAAATTTTTGTTTCGTCTATATAGCTGATATTTTGATTGCTTCATCATCCCTTGATGAACATATACTTCATATCGAAGAAGTTTTTAAGAGATTAAAAAGTCATAATTTGACTGTCAACCTTTCTAAATGCACATTTGCTGCAGAACACATAAAATTTTTAGGTCACATTATCAACAAAAATGGAATCATTCCTTTACCAGAAAAAATTAAAGTTATCCAAGATTTTCCTAAACCCAAAACCGTTAATAAACTTGGACCTTTTGGGAAATTCTTAATTTCTATAGGAGATTTTTAAATCATGCTGCTGAAGTTCAACTTCCTTTAAATGGTATGCTCGGACATTGTAAGAAAAATGACAAAACACCTTTAAATTGGTCAATAGACACTGAAACAGCCTTTGAATCATGTAAACAGCTTCTCACACAGGCTACAAACTTAGTCCACCCAGACCCAAAAAAGAAAATTGCTCTCATGTACAACACATCAGACAAAGCCATAGGTGCTTGCATCCAACAACTCAATGCTCAAACATGGGAACCATTAGGATTTTTCTCAAGAAAATTGAGTGATACGGAACAAAAGTACAGTACGTATGACTGAGAGCTGTTGGCAATACTTGTCGCTATCAAATACTTCAGATATCTGCTTGAAGGTACAAACTTTCAAGTATTTACAGATCATAAGAGACTAACAAAAGCATTTTTCCAAAAGTATGACAAGCTCTCACGTCGACAAATTAATCAACTTAATTTCATCAGCCAGTTCACTACTGATATTCAACATGTGAGTGGTGCAGAAAATGGACCAGCCGATGCTCTTTCTCGCATTGAAATGGTTGCTAATGTCATTCCTATTAACTATGAATCTATGTCGAAAGCACAACAGAGTGACACTGTACTCCAATCCATTTTAGACAAAGAAAATCCAGTTCTGCAATTAAAGAAGTTAAAAATGCCTTAGAGTTCTATTGAACTGCATTGCGACATTTCACATGGTAAAATCTGTGCTTTTGTTCCAGACAGTCATAGAAAACTTGTCTTTTCAGCTCTGCATAATCTTTCCCATCCTGGACCTAAAGCAACGCTGAAGTTAGTTAGTGACCGATTTGTCTGGCCTGGAATGAAAAAGGATGTCACGAACTTTGCTAAAACGTGCCTACAACGTCAAAAGGCTAAAGTGTCTCATCATGTACACTCTCCTTTAACTACTTTTATAGTTCCAGATGAACGTTTTTCTTATATCAATATAGATTTGATTGGACCTCTTCCTTGATCTCAAGGGAATGTCTTACTGTCTGACATGCATCAACAGGTATACTTGCTGGTCTGAAGCGTATCCATTGAAAGACACACGGGCAGAGACCGTCGCCCCTGCTCTTTATGCTGGCTGGATTTCAAGATTCGGTGTGCCTGGTCAGACTCAGTGGTAGTCAATTTCGCAGTGAACTATTTCGAGAACTAGCCAAGAACTTCTGTATTCGCCTTTTTCACACCGTCGCGTATCACCCACAAGCCAACGGTATCATTGAAAGGTGGCACAGATCCCTCAAACAATCCATTATGTGTCACAAGTCTATACACTGAACGGCATTGCCTTCAGTTCTTTTGAGACTTTGGACTGCTTTCAAAGGGGAACTTAACTGCTCTCCAGCCAAACTGGTGTATGGCCAAACTTTGCATCTTCTGGGACAATTCTTTATGAATCCTGACAGCAACATTCCGAGGAGGGACTTCCTAAAAAAACTGAATGATAATCTAGAACATCTTCACCCGACTGCTACTACCAATCACTCTAAAAAACAGATCTTTGTGTATAAACACTTAGATAAATGTTCTCATGTTTTCTACGTGTAGATACAATAAAACCCTCCTTGCATACATCTTACAAAGTACAAAGTACTCCGACGTGGTGATAAAACTTTTACCATATCTAAACAAGGACATGATATCACTGTGTCTATAGACAGAGTAAAACCTGCTTATTTAGTCCTGGATGATGTATCTGAACCTCCTAGTTTAATTGATGCCGATAAGGCCTCATCACAGCAAACAACCCATCCAGTAAACAAACAACCACCTGAAAAATGTGCTCCTGCGAAAGCAAATTATCAAACTCGTTCAGGACGTCGTCAAACTCGTCCTCTTCCCCAAACAATTTGTGGAAGACTAATTTTTTCCCTTTTTCAGATTTTTAGCGGATTTTCTTTTTCCAGGAAGGGAGATGGTGTGGGCTACCTCCCCCCCCACACACATTTCTTCGACACTTCGAGTTGTGCTCTTCGCACATACGCAATAAGAATATCATCTCTGCACGACTGTAAAAGAGAACTTTTCGCCTTCTGTTTTTACAAATTCATGTATGCATTTTACTCATCGCTGAGATTCCTGTTATTTATTGCCATGTACGTATTTTAATTAATATAAGAATTTATTTTTCTAACTTAGCCATTAATTAGAGCCCAAAAGTTTTACAAAATATGAAATCGATAATAAAATAAATTTCAAATTTGGTCTTCCACATGCCCATATTCGTAGGAGGATTACATCATTCAAAATTCAATGGCTCTATGTACCGTTGTTTTATCACAATGCGAGAAATATACATACATTTATGCAGATTTTTCATTATTTAATTTCTTCAAATATAATGCAGGACTCTAACATTTGGTGGCAACAGTTTGAAAAGTAAAACAGACATTTATAGTGATTAAACGCAAAATCGCAAAACTAAAACAATAGTTCTTCAGGGACAAAGACCCTTTTTGGACTAAAATAAAAATTCTGCGAAATCTTTAATGCATATTAATGCGAATGATCAATGGCCAAATTAAACTGTTACATCATTGTAAACTCTCTACATTTCAATTTGCTACAAAACGTGTTAATTATTAATAAACCTGTAGCATACCACATTCAAATTCTTAATCCCTTCTCATCCTAAGAATCTCGATTTGTTAACAATCTGTCAATCACTAATCAAATTCTGAAATAAAAGTTTATGCATGTTAATCCTTGCAAAATTCTCATAGACAATCAGTACAGACAAGAATTTTTTTTTTTTTTGCTTCAAATGCTCCTTTACTAGGAATATAAAGACTAACCAGTACTTCCTTACTGTAGTAGCCCCCAAGATTGAATCGCTAATCAATCGAGATATCTCAACATATGTTCTTAAACCTTGCTATATGCTACATCTCAGCTGATTAGCGATTAAATTCTGGATGTCCCTAATAAGGAAGAATCAAATTGCCAGTGTTGGCATGCTTTTTGTCCGTTATCAGACAGTGGGCTAAACAACACTTCCTTCAAACTAAAAAGAAACTGCTAGTGATATCAGCATAATTCTTTTAATAGATTTCATGTATCAATTGTGATGTCAGTATAACTGCTGGAGTCAGTACAATTTTAAGCTTTGCTCAGTGGCGTGCAGTAGCCATGAGCTTAGTATTTTTTATAGCAGTTTTTGTCACATCCGTAATTCTGTAACAGAAGATTAAACTAATTATTGAAAATTTGCCTAAGTTGGCATATCTGAAACTTCATATGCAAATAATTAAAAAAGAAGACCATTTGTGATTTTTAGAAAACTTGATAGTTAGGCTTAATTTGAAGTCTTAAACTATGCAAAAATATCCACATGTAATTTCATAAAAAAACTGATTTAAAAAAAATATGTTAGCACAGTTCTATATACAGTACAAAGTCTGTAATCCAGACCTCAAAGCCACAAACTTTTTTTGGGGGGGTATGCTTTACGCATGCGCATTTAATGTTTACGCATGCACGTTTAGCACAAGAGACGAAGCAAATTAACAACTTACATTGAAAGAAATGTTTAATAAAGTAAACAAATAAATATTAAGATCTTTTTTTGCAAATTTTGATACCCTTTAGATTATAATTGCTCTTTATTTCAGAAGTTATAGTTTCATATTTTTAATTGTATGATTTCTGCATGCCATCCTACCAGATTTAAATTGATGATCTATAACCCTGCAAAACCCTTAATCTGGAATCGCTGAAGTCCCGACAAGTCCAGACTTTGTACTGTATAAATCTAACAAATGTTCTAAATCCTACTTTCAAGGAAAAAATATTACCAGTTATATTAACAGGCCTCACAGAATGACAGATTCAGAATTATTTCACTACCTGTATTCAAAATTATTTCAGAATTATTTCACTATTTATTGTACATCAATATACAGTTCTTAAAAAATACGGATTTTAAAAATGCCTGGTCCCTTTTTTAATACTTAGAATACAGTCCTTTAGATATTACTCCAAAATGTTATACATGTCTGACCCTGAATTAATTTAAATGGTTTCACTGAAGAAATCTTGGTACTTTCCCATTATTTCCACCCTCACTGAAAAGCATTAATAAGGCAAAGGACCATGCCGCCAAAGGGATTTATATGGCAATCCACAATGTCACCAAAAAGTATTTATGCAACAAACTAAGATGTAGTGCACATGTATATTTCAGCACATCTCCTAGCGTAGCATACATGTTTTGGTCTCCTATGGTCGGGAATTTATCATTTTCGATTTAGATTTTTAGTTATGATACAGTCCACGAAATAAAATTGGTTGTTGTTGTTGCTGTAAAGTTGTCTTTAATATATAGTAGAACCAGCGACCTCAAAACATTGGTTACCGTCAAACCACAGCTAATTAGAATAAAAAATGGCTAATGAAAACATAACTACTTTGAACAGAAAACGTGGTGGTATTAAAGCTCAAATAACGAAATTAAAGTCGTCTGTCAGTGGAAAAAGTGACGATTTTGGTTTCGAACAAATAGAAGTATTGCAAGAAAAAGTGCACAAGTTAAATAAACAAATTGATGAACTTCGCTTGGATTATTACAAAGTGTGCAAAGATGAAGAAATATCAGACATCGAAGCTACTTTTGAAGAAATCGAGATGGATATTACCAATGTTGAGGTAAGCCTGAAATGTCTTTATACTTCATTATGTAGTAAGAATGCAAATAATGAGTATGCAAATAATAGTATCCCAGAAACAAGAAGTAATTCATTGAATTATAAATTGCCTGAAATAACATTACCTAAATTTTCTGGCAATTTCGAAGACTGGAATTTATTTAAAAACCAATTTGTAGCTTTAATTTCATCTAATAGACAATTAACAGATTTTCAAAAATTGTTTTATTTACAATCTTGTTTGATTGGTGATGCAAAGCAGATACAAACAATAGATGATACATTTTCTTCCTTATTTAAGGCACTTGAAGAAAGATATGATAATAAGAGACTGGTTGTAAATTCTCATATCAATGAATTACTTTCTATTGAAAAAAATAGTTCATGAAAATCCTAAAGATTTACGCTCATTAATTGATAAAGTTCAGAAACATTTAAGAGCATTAAAAGTTATGGAATTAAATATGGATAAATTAAGCGAAGCTTTGCTGATTAATATTATTCTTAATAAAATAGATAAAGAATCACGTAAGCAATTTGAAATGTCATTAAATAGTAATGATTTATGTGAATGGGATTCTTTCATGTGACATCTCTTCAAAAGCGATGCCAGATGTTAGAAAAATATGCAAAACAAACTGTATTTGCAAAAACAAAACAAAACATTCCTCCAAATAAAGTTCGATCGTTAGTGACAAAAACGAATAATAATAATAAATTTATGTGTCCAGGTTTGCAAAGATAATCACGCAATTTTTAAATGTGAAACATTTCTAGCATTAAATCCAATGGAACGATACGAAATGATTAAAAAGCTTTCTTTGTGCATTAATTGTTTACAGTTCAAATCATAAAGTAGCTTCCTGTCAGTCTAGACACTTTTGCTCGGTTTGCAAATTAAAACATAATTCACTTCTTCATCGGAATGACGGATTCCATGTCGTCTGCAACAAGTGGGGGAAAGCAAAGTGAAACTACGCCCTTCCCCAGAGAACCGCAAAAATGAGGCTGTTTTGAATAGCAATGAAATCAACAGAAAAAGCCTTATCGGCGTGTCTTTTTTCGAAAAATAAACTGTTCTCCTTTCAACTGCGATTGTTTGGGTTAGAAATATTTATGGCCAATTCGTTAAAGCAAGAGCAGTTCTTGATTCAGGCTCAGTGCAATGTCAAATTTTGCTACAAATGAATTCTGTGAGCATGCAAATTTTAAAAAGGAAAGAATAAATATTCCCGTTTCTAGTTTAAATTGGCAAATTTCAAACATTAAATCTCATACTTTTGCTTCTATTCATTAAATTTTTTAGTTGTAAATAAAATCACAGATTTAGTACCTTCTACAAAATTAAATATTGAAAATATAGATATTCCTGATACATCAAGTTTGGCTGATCCAGAATTTGCAACTCCATCTAGTATAGATCTGCTTTTAGGAGCAGAAATATTTTATGACATTTTTATTAATGGACAATTTAAATCTTCTACGAAATCGCTCGTTTTCAGAAATTCTGTGTTTGGTTATATAGCTACTGGTTCTTTGAAAACATCCTTTGAAAATTGTCAGAATTATTGTGGACTTATCGGTAATGTTGATAATATTGATAGATTGGTAGAAAAATTTTGGTTAGTGGAAAATATTGGTGAAGAAAAGCCAATGCTTAGCCAAGAAGAATTCTGTGAACAACATTTCAAAGACACTTACAGACGAAATGAAGATGGCAGATTTATCGTAAAAATGCCTATGAAAGACGAACAATTAGGAGATTCAAAGCACTTAGCCAACATTAGACTCAATCAATTAGTTAAACGTCTTAGCAAAAACGCTACATTGCAACATTTATATCAAGATTTCATAACAGAATATGAAAATTTGGACCATATGGAAAGGGTCGATGATAATTCAAAACCGGAACTTGAATATTACCTTCCCTATCATGGAGTGTATAGACCAGAGAAGTCAAATACAAAATTAAGAGTTGTGTTTAATGCTAGTGCCCCAAGCTCAAATGGCTTAAGTTTGAATGATTTACTTTTAGCGGGAGCAGTCCAAGAAGATATTTTTGATATTCTTGTGAGATTTAGAAAACATCAAGTTGCAGTTATTGTGGATACACGAGGGTAAGTTGAAAATACTTTCCCCTGTCGAAAAAAAGTCAAAAAATAGTACCATACCTTTATTTTTCCACATAGGCAAATTGAGACATTTGTCAGTTGCCCTCCAGGAAAAAATCAGGGCTTTGCATATGGAAGAAGCGTTGAACGGCTTGTTTCACTTCAGTATTGCTTCCAAAGCGCCTTCCCCCGAGATTTTTCTTCAAAGCTGGAAACAGATGGAAGTTGCTTGGTGCGAGATCAGGACTGTAGGCGGATAGTGTAGGCGCTCCCAACCAAGAGTTGCAATATGGTTTTGCGTTGCCGTCACCAAATGTGGTCTGGCATTGTCACCCAACAGAAAACTGTGAGGAGCACTTTACCTGCAGAGGGAGTTGTCTTGAACTTCTTTCGGACAGGTGATGACGGATGTTTCCATTTCATAGATGCGGCCTTCGATTCTGGCGTGAAATCGTGGACCCACGTTTCATCCCCCATCACAATCCGAAAAGGAAAGTCATTGCCATCTTCATGGTAACGCACGAGATGTTCCAGGCTGAACCCCATGCGTTGTTCCTTGTGTGTCGAGGTAAATTGTCGGAGCACCCATCGTGCTGACACTTTTCTGTATCGAAGAATGTCGTGGATGATGTTTTGAGCTCGCTAATGTGAGATTCCAAGTTCTTACGCTACTTCATATGCCGGTTCACTCTAATCATGTCATCCACCTTCCTGACATTTGCATCTGTAGTGGCCATGCGTGTCCGTCCAGCTCTCGGTATGTTCTCCACTTGCTGATGTCCATCACTGAATGTGCGACACCATCTCCGCACCATTTGCTTCGACATCACACCTGGCCCATAGACTTCCATGAGGTTGTTATGAATTTCTGTTCCTAATACTCCAAGTGCCCATTCATAGCGGATAACCGCTCTCACTTCCTTCTTTGACCACGAATTCAAAACGCACCTTCTCTCCATACCTACCGGGGCTCAAATGAGAGGCTGGTCTCCACTTTGTGCAGGCACTGCAACAGCGCCATCTGCTTGATTTTGCAGCGACCTCTACCCAATGGTGTATCGGTGACTTGCGCATTTTCCTGCTGTGTCGCCTTTCGCCCATAGCCGTTCAACGCTTTTTCCAAATGCAAAGCAAGAATTTTTCTTGGAGGACTTTTTGAAGCTTATCAAGCGATATGACAAATGTCTCAATGTACTCGTACGAGAATAATAAAATAAAGGTATATCATATTTTTAATGTCTCATTCTATTTTTTGAGTTTCCTACACAACGCTGACCACAGTCGACAGAGGAAACTTATTTTTCAACTTACCCTCGTACAAAAAATGTACCGGCAAATTTTAGTTTATGAATCCCAAAGAGACTTACTTCGAATCTTATGGAAGAGAGACCTTAGCGACTCACCTGTGACATATAGACTCAAAACGGTGACTTATGGTACTAAAAGTGCTCCATTTTTAGCCATTAGATGCATAAAGCAAGTTGCATATGACGAAATGCATAAATATCCTGAAGCTGCCAAAGCTGTCTTGTCAGACTGTTATGTTGATGATGTCATCTCTGGTTCATCAAACTTAGACTCAGCAAGGGAATTGAAAAATCAGCTTATACAGCTTTTTCATAGTTGTGGAATGACTTTGCACAAATGGAACTCTAATTCTCCTGAACTGTTGGATAGCCCTTCTACAAGCTCTGAGCTTTCATTCTCCTCCAAAAGTGATAATGTGGTTAAAGCTTTAGGCATTACATGGAATTCTCAGAAGGATGAATTCAGCTTTAAAGTCTCAATCAAGGAGAAATCATCATATACCAAAAGAGACATTTTATCGACAATTGCCAGACTTTATGATCCTTTAGGACTGATTGGTCCGGTAATCACCAAAGCCAAGATATTTTTACAAAATTATGGGTTCAAAAACTGAGTTGGGATGAACCACTTTTTGCAACTATTGCTCACAAATGGCAACAGATAGTTTCAAATTTAAAACCTGTTGAGAACATAAAAATTAATCGTTGCATCCTCTCCAATCATCCAAGCAAGATTTCACTCATTGGATATGCAGATGCTTCGGAAGCCGCTTATGGTGCAGTTGTCTACTTGATTTGTGTCGATGAAGATCACGGCTCGTCATCTCATCTACTAGCCAGCAAATCTCGTGTGGCTCCATTGAAAACTTTATCTATTCCAAGATTGGAACTTTGTGCATGTTTGTTATTGGCTCATCTGATTTCGAAAGTTAGCAACTCATTGAAGATGCATTTAGATGACATCATTCTGTGCACTGATTCAACGATAGCACTGTCATGGTTGAAGACTTCTCCTCATCTTTTGAAGACCTTTGTTGCAAATAGAGTCTCCAAAATCCAAAGACTAGTAGAGCCGCGACACTGGAAGCACGTATCATCAGCAAATAATCCGGCAGATCTGATTTCTCGTGGTGCTTATCCTCATGAACTTGTGACATCTTCCTTGTGGTGGAATGGTCCTGAACAGAACGAACTTAGTGATGCTTCTTTATTTGAACTTGACAAGACTCTCATAGATTCTCCTGCTTATCAGGATGAACTTAAAAAACCTTTAGACGTTAATTTGAACTGCAATTTAAACTTGTTTTGGAATACCTTTTTTGAATTAACAAATAATTATGTTAAACTAATTAGAATTTTAAGTCTTATTTTCAGGTTTCTGTCTGTCCAATCTGAAAGGTCCAGTGAAGAAAACAGGCCCCATTAGTAGCACTGAATTTCAAGATGCGGAAATGCACTTGATAAAAATGGTTCAGGTAATAGAATTTGCAGAGGAGATTAAATCACTTCAAGATCAGAGAGTAATCAAAAGTCAGGTAAAAACTTTAAATCCATTTTTAGATGGAAAAGATATATTACGTGTGGGCGGTTCGCTTAACTCATGCCACAATTAATTATGATTCTAAACATCAAATTTTATTGCCAAAAAATCATAAGCTTACCAAGCTAATATTTATTCATTATCATTTGAAAAATTTTCATGCTGGTCCTCAAGCATTATTACATTTTGTTAGGGAAAGGTTTTGGCCCATTGGTGGCAAGGACTTAGCTAGAAAAACAGTTCATGAATGCTTAATTTGTTTTGTCGTCATAAACCTATCATTTCAGATCAATTAATGGCCGATTTACCTCCTGAACGTGTAAATCCAAATCTAACCTTTCATAACACAGGGATAGATTTTGCAGGCCCTTTTCTAATCAAATATAGAAATCAAAGGAAAGGTAGTTTACATAAAGTTTATATAGCAATCTTTGTTTGCTTAGTTACAAAAGCGATTCATTTAGAAATAGTATTTGACTTAACATCTGAAGCCTTTATTGCATGTTTAAAAACGATTTTTCTCGCGTAGAGAGTAAAAGCTCATGTCTGTTTAGTGACAATGCAACTAATTTTGTAGGAGCTCACAAAGAGTTAAAGAAACTTGCTTCTTTAGTTACTGTCCCTGATGAAGTTTTGGGTAAGTATTTGGCATCTGAAAATATCTCTTGGAAATTTATTCCTCCTCCGCCCAATTTTGGTGGAATTTGGGAGGCCGGAATCAAATCTTTCAAATTTCATCTTAAAAGAACTATTTCCGATGCTAAAACTAACCTATGAAGAATTTTTAACCGTAATTGATCAAATTGAAGGAATACTAAATTCGAGACCTCTTTCTCCTTTATCGTCTGAACCTTCAGATTACGAACCCTTGACGCCAGGTCACTTTTTAATAGGTAGACCCATAAACTCAATTGTAGAACCTCAAATTTTAGACTTGTCAGAAAGCAGATTGTCAAGATGGCAAAAATTAACTAAAATGATACAGATTATATGGAAACGATGGATAACTGACTATCTTAATCACTTGCAACAACGAAAGAAATGGTATTTTTCAAAGGACAATATAAAGAAAAAATACAATGGTTTATTAAAGATGATCAGTTACCTCCATTTAAATGGTTACTAGGAAGAATTGATCAGACAATTCCTGGTAAAGATGGTAAGATACGAGTAGCAGTCATTAACACAAAGTTTGGTCCAATTAAAAGGCCAATATCAAAAATTTGTTTATTGCCTATTGAGGATAACTTCAAGGATTAAGTTTCATTGTTAATAAAATATACATTGTTCTTTATTATACTTATATTTTGGTAATTTTGATGAAAAAATGTGAATTTTTTTTACTGTTTGAAATGTTGATATACTTACCATAATTATTGAAAAAATTTGCAAATGTTCAAACTTTATGGAATTTTCTGAATTGTTTATTTCATTCTGTAAATGATTTACTAACTTTAAGTCTTTTGTTAATGCTTAAAAAAAAAACTGAATAGCTGAATTGTTAGCATTTGATATTGAATTGTATACTTAGATTTAGTTTGCATATCATAGATATTGCAACGTGGGGCGGTATGTTGCCTCCTACGCGGCAATAAAAGTTATGTGCAGCGCATTGTTTCTGCGCAACTTCAAAGTTATGTACAGCGCATTGTTTCTGCGCAATTTTAGTTAGTTAAGATTCGAACTCCTAGCGTAGCATACATGTTTTTGATCCCGTATGGTCGGGAATTTATCATTTTCGATTTAGATTTTTAGTTATGATACAGTCCACGAAATAAAATTTGTTGTTGTTGTAAAGTTGTCTTTAATATATAGTACAACCAGCGACCTCAAACAGTGTTGTGAATGTTTAAGGAATTAGTATAATAGTATACAAAAGAAAGAAGTAATACAGATATAACAAATAGGCTAGACAAAGTCACCTTGTATGCTGAAAGAAGTGTCCCAGCAGTCAACAAGACAATGGATACCCTGGGTAAAAAAGCTCCAGGATTGATTGTGGAACTAATTTTCAATGATAGCTTGAACTTCATTATTGTTGGCCCTCCAGAGACTTCTTAAGTGGGCTGAAGATTCTAACTGAAGGTCACACAGCGAGAGGTCCGGGCTGTAGGAATTGCCGTAACAATGTTTGGCATGCCATAGCCACATGAGGGCGAGCATTATCATGTAAGAGGTTAATCCCGTGGAATGGCATGCCATGTCAGCAGTTCTTGATACTCTCTCTGAGTTTCTGCAATGTGGCACAGTACAGTCATGCTGGCAGATAGCCAATCCAACAGTAGTGGACCATCGACGTCAAAGAAGCAAGTTAACATGATTTTACCAGCTCTAGTGAATGTGTGAGCCTTCTTCGGCTGTGGGAATTAAGAATATCAGCATTCCATGCTCATGCTTTTGGTGGCTGGATCAAAGTGATGGTACCATATCTCATCAGCGAAAATGATCCTCGAAAGGAACTGATTCTCCATTCTGTGGTACCGCATAAGGTGTTACAAGGAAACAGACATCCGATGAATCTCCTGCTCCTCTGTCAAATGTTTTGGCACCAATCGAGCACAAACCTTGCGGTATCGCAACTTTTCATGCAGTATTGTGTACACACTTCCTATGCTCGAGTAGTATTCACCGATTTATTTTTACGAGACAGTTCACATCTGCAACTGCTTCCTGGGTGATCACCAAATGCACTTGGCCAGGTGCTTGCCTGTCATCAGTACTGCTCCTTCCACTATGAAAATCCCTAAACCATCAGAATACTGATCTGCGTTTCATACACTCCATACCATACACATTTTGCATTCGATGATAGATTTCAGAAGCACTCGCATTTTCCGCTGTTAAAAATTGCTCGACCACCATTTGGAGGCATCCATGATGAGAACGATACCTTTTAACGTGCTCTGATGTTATCACACGCGCATCTATTCGGATTTGACAATATTGCATGCACTCCTAGCACTATGCGCCCTCTATAGAAGCATGTGCAGTCATCTTTCTCTTCAAATGGCAGACCCTTATTTTACTGACCCTTATCTTTACATATAATAAAAGAAAGAGTCTGTGTCTTTCGTTCATGCTGCACGTACGCTAATAGACCCAGGGCTACAATATTTGGTACATAGGTGCATCTAGACATGAGCCAGTGCACCTTGAAGAGATTTTTATGCAAATCATATTTTTTTTTTTAATCTTTTTTGACGGAATCACATCATTTTGAATAGTTTCATTCTTTTAGAAATGTGGTTTTGGCAACAGTTTTTCATTTAATGCTTTGTATACTTGACTGTTGACTGTTGAAAATCAGCACTGTTCCGACTTGGAAAAATGCAGTCTTGAAATTTAATGTTTCTCTTGGATACTGGATGTTTGTTGACAGAAGGCAATGGAAAATTGGTTAATTTAATAATTAGGATAATTAATACTTGTATTAAGGGATATTGCTTATTTCATTGTAATTTTTTTAATATGTGATACACTTTTATAGTTTTTTTAATACAGTTGTTCCGCAGAGTAAAATTCTGTGCAATTTTTAAATTTAATGTTTGATGTTCCCTTTAGGCATTTTTTTTTTTTTTTTGGTACATTTAAAAGCCAGACAAAGGCTGGCTGCACAGCGGTTAGTATAAACATAAAAGAAAGTGTAGTAATGATTGCTAACACAGATAAATGTTATATTTGCACTTTATATTTTTATGTTGTTCCCAAAATAACATGCATAACACCTAAATCTAAATACTAACATCTAAATACTACATATCTGACTGCATTAAGAACAATTAAATTGGCAGATCTAGAATTTTATAAACCCAGTTTAATCCATGTTTTGTTGTCAAATAAAGTTTTCTTTGAACTGCTAGGAACAAATAATTTTAAAACACAAGATTTGATTTTTCAAGAATCTGTCTTCTATGTGCATGCCAAAAGAAAACAATTCTTGTAATTATTGACAGCATGTTAACCTGTTAACTGGGGAATAAGCTTTCAGTAAAATCGTTTCACAATGGGGACTTTTTCCTTTGCAGTAATTTCAGCACATCGCAAGGAATAAATAAAAGAAAATCGTTTTAAAATATTTAATGATATTAAATATTAAAATTAAATTTAATTTAATTTAATTAATTAAACATTTTTAATCCATAAAAACAAATTAATTGAATGAATTTAAACAATTATTTCGTATGATATTCCCTAAAGGAATGCGGCATACACAAAGCAACACTGCAGTCGGGACACCAAAATCTCGATTCTTTTCCCTAAGACCTTTGGAATAGCACAATGTGCGTTTCCTCGTTACATTAACTCTTGAAGAGTCGGATGGTATATAGTCTGCAAAATGTCTTTCAAAAGAGTCGAGATGGTTTTGGTGTCAAAGATGATCGTCCTGTACTAGTAGATGGCAACTGCGATCCGTTCTCTATATTTTTCAACACCTTTTCTACAGTTTTCGATAAGGAAATGAAGCCTATCTAGTGACCACCATCTTTCTTGCATAAAAGATATGCATTCAAACCCACCATGTCTAGTGCATGTAAAAATATCTTATAGTAATACTTTTTTACTTGGTTCCTAGCGATTTCATAAGTTTTCATTTGTCCGTCAGCAAGATCAACTCCTCCCATATTTTTGTTGTAGTCAGCGATAACTTCCGGTTTTGATATCGGTTTCCTTCGTTTTTCTATTTCTACAAACTTATTGTCGTGGATAGTACTCAATATAATTAAATCCTTTTTGTCTTTCCACTTCATAATCATTATTTTGTCTCTGTACCTAGCAATGTATTAATCTTTTTTCAAAACACAATTTTTTATTTCAGATGGTATTCCCTTTCTATTTTTTCGCACTGTTCCTACAACATCGGTTTTTCTTCTGCACATCTTCTCAGCTAGATCAGTACCAGTATACCAATTATCGAGATATAGCGTATATCCCTTATCCAACAAATCGTGTCACAGTTCAAGAACAATACGATTTGGTCCCTGTTCTTCTGGATAG